AAAATGTGAATGAATAAGCTATAACATCATATTATTATTTTAATTTTTTTAATCATACCATTAAAATATTATAATAGGACTGTGTGCATTTACTTAACTCTTGCTTCTCTCTGAATTAGGCATCCCTTGATGAGCAACTTTAAAGAAACATAAATGCACTTTAGAGTTTGAAATCTTGAGTTAAGCTGTGGGTGTCCATGGCAATAAATGACATTTAAAGGGGGTCTGTAGTAAAAATGTTAAGAACCGCTGAGCTACAGCTTTCCCAGAATAAAAACACTATCTCTAGGCAGACCAGGCAGGACGCTGATGTTGGGAATGGGGTTCAGACTGCTAAACCAGACCTTGCCCAACATTTCATGTTGGTGGCATACTACATGCATCATTTCATATATACATATATGAAATATATATTTAAAATACATAATTTATTGCTTATTTCAGAAACTGAAGAGATTTCTCATTACATTTGGGTGACACACTTACACCCTGCAGCTGGCACACCAACGTGTTGCAACACAGTTTGGAAAGCTCTGGCCTAAACCTTTCAAGAACCTGTTGCTTGCCAAGCAAGAGACATACCAGCCCATGAATTGTAGGAAACTTTGGAAGAAAAAAAACAACCTTTGGTATCTGATGAACAACTTCCCCTCTCTAACTTACTCTGGCTCAAAAGATAAACTTTAGGGATTGTGTTGTGTTGCTGTTGAGAAATCAGAACCCAACTGCTATGAATGAGACCATCCTGAAGTGGCAAGTTTAACAGCAATTCTGCAGACCTCAGTGGTCATTTATTATTAACACTGTATTTACTCAAATCTACTGCTCACCTTTTTTGCCTAATTAAGGGTGCACATTAGATTTGGGAAATATGGTTATTTTAGCACTGAACCAAAGCCAAAAGGTAAACTGCTTCTGAAGGTCCTATTTGTGGGACCTCATCTCTAATTTAATTGCCATGGCTCAATGCTATGAAATGCTGGGATTTCTAGTTGGGTGAGGTATCAGCATTCTTTGGAAGCTCTCATAATCCCAAACTACAGCTCCCATAACCCCACTGCATTGATCCAAGGCGGTTAAAGTGTATCCATTTGACAGCACAGATGAACCCCTAGGTTTTCTTTTCCATTGCTGAAAGAAGGAATTATAAGCAGGCAGCCACTGTAATGCACAACTTTTTTGGCCAAATTACACAGAGTGCACTTTTTGTCACTGTACACTGTATTTCATAGAATCATGGAATAATAAGAGTTATGAGTGTGGGCCATCCAGTCCAACCCCTTGCCCAGAGGCAGGAAAATCGCATTCAAAGCAGATGGCCATTCAGTCTGTTTAAAAGCCTCCAAAGAAAGTGCCTCCACCACACTCCGGGGCAGAGAGTTCCACTGCTGAACAGCTCTCACAGTCAGGAAGTTCTTCCTAATGTTCAGGTGGAATATCCTTTCTTGTAGTTTGAAGCCATTCCTCCGCGTCCTAGTCTCCAGGGCAGCAGAAAACAAGCCTGCTCCCTCCTCTCTATGACTTCCTCTCACATACTTATACATGGCCATAATGTCTCCTCTCAGCCTTCTCTTCTTCAGGCTAAACATGCCCAGCTCTTTAAGCCGCTCCTAATAGGGCTTGTTCTCCAGACCTTTGATCATTTTAGTCGCCCTCCTCTGGACACATTCCAGCTTGTCAACATCTCCCTTAAAATGTGGTCCCCAGAATTGGATAGAGTATTCCAGGTATGGTCTGTCCAAAGCAGTAGCATGACTTTCCTAGATCTAGACTCTATACTCCTATTTGTGAAGGCCTTTTTTAGCTGCCGCATCACATTGTTGGCTCATGTTTAACTTGTCCACAAGGACTCAAGATCTTTTTCACAGGTACTGCTTCCGAGCCAGGCATCATCCCCCATTCTGTATATCTGCATTTCATTTTTTTCTGCCTAAGTGGAATATCTTGCATTTCTCCCTGTTGAACTTCATTTTGTTAGTTTTGGCCCATCTCTCCAATCTGTTAAGATCATTTTGAATTCTGCTCCTGTCTTCTGGGGTTTTGGCTATCCCTCCCAATTTGGTGTCGTCTGCAAACTTGATGATCATGCCTTCTAACCCTTCATCTAAGTCATTAATAAAGATGGTAATAAAGATGTTGAGCAGGACTGGGCCCAGGACGGAACCCTGTGGCACTCCGCTCGTCACTTCTTTCCAGGATGAAGAGGACCTTCTGGGTTTGCTCACTTAACCAATTACAGATCCATAACCAACCATCCATACAGATCAACCTAACCATAGTTTTGCCTAGGCCACATATTGGCTATCCCTCCCAATTTGGTGTCATCTGCAAACTTGATGATCATGCCTTCTAACCCTTCATCTAAGTCATTAATAACTTTGAGCTGGAATATATGGCAGTGTGGTCTCAGGTAACCCAGGACCCTTCCACAGAGCCCTATATCCCAGAATATCAAGGTAGAAAATCCCACATTATCTGGGTATGGACTCAGATAACCCAGGGCCCTTCCACACATCCCTGTATCCCAAAATGTCAAGGCAGAAAATCCCACATTATCTGCTTTGAACTGGGTTGTCTGAGTCCACACTCAGATAATGTGGGATTTCCTGCCTTGATATTCTGGGATATAGGGCTGTGTGGAAAGCCCCTTAGGTGGCGTGCAGAAACCTCTCATTGTTGCCACACGCATCTCCCCCTATGAACCATCGTGGAGATTAAGTTCCTCCGGGGAGTCCTTGCTCTCCGTCCCACCATTGTCACAGGCGCAACTGGTGGGGACGAGAGACAGGGCCTTCTCTGTGATTGCCCCCTGCCTGTGGAACTCCCTTCCTGGTGAGATCAGAACTGCCCACTCCCTCCTGTCCTTCAGAAGGATGGTAAAAACTTGGCTGTGGGACCAAGCTTTTGGGACAGGGCAATAAGGCAGTGATAGGAAACTTACCAGGCCAATTTAGATTTGACACAGATGACCAAGATGGTTTAAAACAGTGTATTTTAATACTAGCCGTCCCCTGCCATGCTCTGCTGTGGTCCAGTCTGTATATATGTGTTTTGTGTGTATATATATGTGTGTATGTGTGTGTATATATTTGTGTATATGTGTATATATGTGGTTTTGTGCATGCGTTATGTTTTTTTGTTTTTGTTTTTTTGCTTTTTAAGTCCTTTCCACTGTGTTTTCCAGCTTTTTATGAGTGATGGTCACTTGTTGGTCTGATTGTTGCTTTGTGTGTGTATACATTTGTGTATATGTGTATATATGTATGTTTTTCGGTGATTTTATGAGTGATGGTCACACATTGGCCTGATACGTGTCTTGTGTCCAAATTTGGTGTCAATTCGTCCAGCGGTTTTTGAGTTATGTTAATCCCACAAACGAACATTACATTTTTATTTATATATATTTTGATTAATGTTTTTAATATTTATGTATATGAATTCTTGTCCCAGCATTGAATGTTTGCCTTATATACGCTGTGCTCCGTCCTGAGTCCCATTTTCAAATAAAATAAATAAATTTCATGGCACCAACACTGAGCAAAGCGGACCCCATATGGAAGAAGCAGTGGTACACAGGAATGAGCAGGGCTGTGATGGATCATGAGTCAAGCCCTGAGAGCTCCAACTTTAGAGCTAAATTACAAAACATCCCCATGAACCACTAGTCAATTGAAGAAAGGTATTGACAAGCTGGAATGTGTCAAGAGGAGGGTGACTAAAATGATCAAGGATCTCGAGAACAAGTCCTATGAGGAGCGGCTTAAGGAGCTGGGCATGTTTAGCCTGAAGAAGTGAAGGCTGAGAGGAGATATGATAGCCATGTATAAATATGTGAGAGGAAGCCACAGGGAGGAGGGAGCAAGCTTGTTTTCTGCTGCCCTGGAGACTAGGACACAGAACAATGATTTCAAACCACAAGAAAGGAGATTCCACCTGAACATGAGGAAGAACTTCCTGACTGTGAGAGCCGTTCAGCAGTGGAACTCTCTGCCCCGGAGTGTGGTGGAGGCTCCTTCTTTGGAAGCTTTTAAACAGAGGCTGGATGGCCATCTGTCAGGGGTGCTTTGAATGCAATATTCCTGCTTCTTGGCAGGGGGTTGGACTGGATGGCCCATGAGGTCTCTTCCAACTCTTTGATTGTATGATTCTATGAAGGTTTTTCTTCAAACACACACACACTTGGTCCTGCTATGACTTACAATGATTTCAAACCACAAGAAAGGAGATTCCACCTGAACATGAGGAAGAACTTCCTGACTGTGAGAGCCGTTCAACAGTGGAACTCTCTGCCCCGGAGTGTGGTGGATGCTCCTTCTTTGGAGGCTTTTAAACAGAGGCTGGATGGTCAGGGGTGCTTTGAATGCAATATTCTTGCTTCTTGGCAGGGGGTTGGACTGGATGGCCCATGAGGTCTCTTCCAACTCTATGATTCTATATGCTGTCCTCAGCCCTGGGTCCCCTTCGGGATGAGAAGGGCGGAATATAAATGTTTTAAATAAATAAATAAATTTTCATGGCACCAACACTGAGGAAAGAGGACCCCATTTGGAAGAAGCAGTGGTACACAGGAGTGAGCAGGGCTGTGATGGATCATGAGTCAAGCCCTGAGAGCTCCAACTTTAGAGCTAAATTACAAAACATCCCCATGAAGCACTAGTAGTGAACTCTGTGACTTGGGGCCACCTCTGTTCCAAACCATACAGAAGGCAACAGAACACACAGGGCTTGCCTAAAAGAGGAAGGAAGAAGAGAGAACGAGAAACTATGGGGCGAGGGTTGACACTTGAAGAGCAAGTGCCCCTCTGGGCCACGAGGCCACTCCTGAGCCAGGTGAGGGAATGAGAAGAGAGAGGTGTGAGGGAAGGGAAGGGAGGAGACCCGGAAGGAGGGGGAAAGGGCCACTGAGGGAAGAAACTTCCTGCCTGCCTGCCTGCCTCCCTCCTCCTTCTCCTCCGCCGGACAGGTGCGCCTCCCCCTCCCCTCCTTTCGTCAACACTCACAAACTTCCGGGACTTCCCCCCTCCTCCTCCTCCTCCGCCGGGGTCTCCCGCCGAAGCGGCCGCCACTGTGGGCTCCTCAGGGCTCTTGCCCTTCTTCTTCTCGCGGCCGGCTCCTCGCGCTGACGGACCTCCGCCGCGGCCACTGCCACTGCCTCCGCCGCCCTCCATGGCGCCCCTCGAAGCCGGGCCTGAGCGCGCGCGCGCACCGCCGGGGAAGGGAGGGGGAGCCTTCACTCCTCGAGGCGGCCCATCCGCCTCGCGCCGCCGAAAGCCTTCAATGAGACCCCCTCAGAGCTGCCTCGCGCCGGCCCAGCAGCGCGCGCCCGCTCGCCTGCCTGAACTGCCGGAATCCACGCCCGCCTCGAGAGGCCCCGCCCACCGCCGTGTCGTCACCGCCGCGCGGCCACAAAGCCGCCTCCGCGAAGCAAAAAAAAAAAAAAGTGGGAGATTCGCCTTGAATCGACAACGGTGGAACAGATAGATACACTGTGGATATAGAGCTACGAATGTAGAGGAGCGTTCCTCAAGTCCGCTGGGGAAGCTTCCAAGTCCCTTGCGTGCTTTCTCTAGGAGGCCAAAGTGTTGAATCATAGAATCAAAGAGTTGGAAGAGACCTCATGGGCCATCCAGTCCAATCCCCTGCCAAGAAGCAGGAATATTGCATTCAAATCACCCCTGACAGATGGCCATCCAGCCAGTCTCTGTTTAAAAGCTTCCAAAGAAGGAGCCTCTACCACACTCTGGGGCAGAGAGTTCCACTGCTGAACGGCTCTCACAGTCAGGAAGTTCTTCCTCATGTTCAGATGGAATCTTCTTTCTTGTAGTTTGAAGCCATTCCTCCGCGTCCTAGTCTCCAGGACAGCAGAAAACAAGCTTGCTCACTCCTCCCTATTACTTTCTCTCACATATTATACATGGCTATCATATCTCCTCTCAGCCTTCTCTTCTTCAGGCTAAACATGCCCAGCTCCTTAAGCTGCTCCTCATAGGGCTTGTTCTCCAGATCCTTGATAATTTTAGTCACCCTCCTCTTGACACATTCTAGCTTGTCAATATCTTTCTTCACTTGACTAGTGCTTCATGGGGATGTTTTGTAATTTAGCTCTAAAGTTGGAGCTCTCAGGGCTTGACTCATGAGCCATCACAGCTCTGCTCACTCCTGTGTACTACTGCTTCTTCCAAATGGGGTCCGCTTTGCTTGGGGCAGAGAGTTCCACTGCTGAACGGCTCTCACAGTCAGGAAGTTCTTCCTCATGTTCAGATGGAATCTCCTTTCTTGTAGTTTGAAGTCATTGTTCCGCGTCCTAGTCTCCAAGGAAGCAGAAAACAAGCTTGCTCCCTCCTCCCTGTGGCTTCCTCCCACATATTTATACATGGCTATCATATGTCCTCTCAGCCTTCTCTTCTTCAGGCTAAACATGCCTAGCTCATTAAGCCGCTCCTCATAGGGCTTGTTCTCCAGACCCTTGATCATTTTTAGTCGCCCTCCTCTGGACACATTCCAGCTTGTCAATATCTCTCTTGAATTGTGGTGCCCAGCATTGGACACAATATTCCAGGTGTGGCCTAACCAAACAGAATAGAGGGGTAGCATTACTTCCCTAGATCTAGACACTATGCTCCTATTGATGCAGGCCAAAATCCCATTGAAGCACACTGACACACAGGCGGGGAATCCAGAGGCGTCCTCGCCACAGGGAATCCCCCGCTTTTTCTCAACCCAGGGCCCTTCCACACAGCTGCATAAAATCACACGTTGTTTGCTTTGTATGTTTGTCCACTGTGCCCTGCCTCATGTACAGAGGAGGAATTTGTTGGAGGCTACAGACAATGCCGTTGCTATGTATTGTCGAAGGCTTTCATGGCCGGAATCACTCAGTTCTTGTGGGTTTTTTCGGGCTATATGGCCATGTTCTAGAGGCATTTCTCCTGACGTTTCGCCTGCATCTATGGCAAGCTTCCTCAGAGGTCTGCTGGAGCTGGGAAAAAGGGGTTGCTGTTGCCCGTTTTTGGTCAAAAGATATTTAGCCTCCTGCGTGCCTTCTATTTTTATCAGTTTTATACAAATGTATGCAATGCTTTTGATATGAAATATCATTGCATAAATTTGTGGTGTTTTATACTGTTTAATGTTTTAATCTGTAGTGTGTTTTTATTTGTTGGAAACCGCCTTGAGTCGCTGATTGGGCTGAGAAAGGTGGTATACAAATATAGTAAATAAATAAATAATAAATTTGCTTTGAACTGGGTTCCGTAGCAGTGTGGACTCTGAGCCCTTCCACACAGCCATATAACTCAGAATATCAAGGCAGAAAATTCCACAATGCCTGCTTTGAACTGAATCCACACTGCCATATCTTGTGGATTTTGGTTATGTGGCTGTGTGGAAGGGCCCTTAGATAAGCAGATATAGTGAATTATCTGCCTTGGTATTCTTGAGCAATTTCAAGACAGGCCCTGTATCCCAGGATCTGATCTCATCTTTTCTGTTTATCCCAGATTATCTGGCAGTGCAGACTCATATAATCCAGTTTAAAGCAGAAAACCTGGGGTCAGATCCTGGGATATAGGGCCTGTCTGGAAAGAGCCCAGGAATATCAAGGCTGATGATTCACAATATCTGCTTTGAACTGGATTATCTTAAATCCACACTGCCATATAATTCAGTACAATGTGGAATTTATACAGCTGTGTAGAAGGGGCTCAGTTGTTGGTATATGCCAGTCTTGTCCTTTCTCGCTAGTTTATCTTATGTTTAAAAAGGGTTTTAAAATAGTTTTCTGTTTGGACTTTCGAGGCCCGCAACTCACTCACTCAGGGGTCTTCCAGACAGATGGTCTAGAGTGGACTATGTCTCTTCTCATTCCTCACTATCAGGCAATGTTGTTTTAGGCTGATGGGAGTTATAGTCTAAAACACTTGCCAAATATTAAGTTGGAATGAGGTTTTGATCTTTGGTCACAAACAACAGAAGAAAAAACTATTTCTGGTTTTTAGCCCAGAGCTTTCCAAACGGGCAGTGTATAAGTGTGCTGTGTGAATGAAATGAAAAACCACTCATATAAATCATATAATTTTAAACATATAAATGGAAGTTTTTCATGAGACATGTTGTATGCCTCATGTCCGAGTAGGATAGTCTTCCAAGATCAGTGTACTGGTGGGTCCGTAAGTGACCGTGGAGCCCTATTCTTGACCTGCATCTTCTCCCGCAGTGAGGGCATTGGTTTCCAGGTGGAAGGCGGTCTCGGTCAAGGTTGGCTTGACACACCTTCCTCTTGGCACATGTCTCTCTTTCACCCTCCATTTGTGCCTCTTCAAATTCTACAGCACTGCTGGTCACAGCTGACCTCCAGCTAGAGCGCTTAAGAGCCAGGGCTTCCCGGTTCTTGGTGAATATGCCACAGGTTGGCTTTGAGCCCATCTTTAAATCACTTTTCCTGTCTACAACAGTCCGTTTTCCATTCTTGAGTTCAGAGTAGAGCAACTGCTTTGGGAGATGGTGGTTGGGAATCCGGACAATGTGGCCAGTCCAGCGAAATGGATGGCGGAGGACCATTGCTTCAGTGCTGGTGATCTTTGCTTCTTCCAGCACGCTGACATTTGTCCGCTTGTCTTCCCAAGAGATTTGCAGGATTTTCCAGAGGCAGAACTGATGGAATCATTCCAGGAGTTGCATGTGACGTCTGTAGATAGTCCACGTCTCGCAGGCGTATAGCAGGGTTGGGAGGACAATAGCTTTATAGACAAGCACCTTGGTATCCCTACGGATGTCCCAGTCTCAAACACTCTTTGCTTCATTCGGAAAAAAAGCTGCACTTGCAGAGCTCAGCCGGTGTTGTATTTCAGTGTCAATGCTGGCTTTTGTGGAGAGGTGGCTGCCAAAGTAGTGGAAATGATCGTTTTCTAATGCTACACCATTAAGCTGTATTTCTGGCATTGGAGAGGGATTGACTGGTGTCTGCTGGAAGAGCACTTTGGTTTTCTCGATGTTCAATGACAGGCCGAGCTTCTTGTATGCTTCTGCGAAGGTGTTTGGAGTGGCTTGTAGGTCTTCTTCTGAATGCGCACAGACGGACACAATACACCTTTTAGGCCAACAAGTGACCATCACTCGTAAAAATACTGAAAAACACAGCGGAAGAGACTTAAAAAGCCAAAAAACAAAAAATACATTACAACACATGCACAAAACCACACATATATACACAAAAACATATATAAACATATACAGAAATATATGCACACATATACACACACAAAACACATATACACAGACTGGGCCACAGCAATGCATGGCAGGGGAAGGCTAGTTTTAAATATATCAATGGAAGCTTTTCATGAGACATGTTGCATCCCCATGCATTTCCTTATTACAGTTTATATATGTGTCCATGTCTCTTCTAAGAGATTGGTTTAACATCCGGTTTGCTACCAAAACTTAATTACTGAGCCAAGAAATGATGCAAAGTGTGTCACCAACAGGACAGCTGTTCTAGAGGGTAGCCTCCCTAAATATGAGAAAGGCCTGCTTTTACAATACTATGTTTCCTCTTTGCCCTACCAGGTCAAAGTGACAGCAACCTCCATGAAACATTGAAATAGTTATGATGGCGAGAAGGCGCTGATCCATCCAAACATTTGCAGAACCAGAATTCATTCTCAGTACTCCTTACATAAAGAAAAGATGTGATTGTGCCTTTAAAGTTGTTGTACAAAAGGCTGGCAACAGCCTAGATGTTTCTAATACTGGACTATTTTGCAAGATACCATACATTCAACCTCATGCATATGTCCACCCCCGCTCAATAGAGTAAACTGTGACAAGCTAAAATTGCGTTTCCCAAAATGGGCAACATTTTCCCCTGGGAAGCTCAGGAATAACACTATGTAACACAATTTTTGTTCCTGGGTTATAAATGTCATTTTCTAATTGGTTCTGTCATAAAAACATGGGAAAAGTGCATTAAACTGCAAAAGCTTTGTTTTTGTGAGACACCCTGCAGCACATTTTGCTAGTTTTTCAATTAATATCTCAACCAATTCAACATATGGTAGTTTGTGGCAGCCACAAATAAAAGTTTCTGGAATATAACAACTACTTTCAAAGTAAGTACCACATAGTTAAACAGGAAATAACACTTTTAAACCATGAACATTTTGGGTTGTAGTTTTTTTTTTTTTCCTGGGCTATATGGCCATATTCTAGAGGCATTCTCTCTTGACGTTTTACCTGCATCTATGGCAAGCATCCTCAGAGGTTGTGCGGATGCTTGCCATAGATGCAGGCAAAACGTCAGGAGAGAATGCCTCTAGAACATGGCCATATAGCCCGAAAAAACCTACAACTCAATGATTCCG